CTTTAAAAAAATATTTTAATTAATATTACTGTCTTAGCTGCTAAATTACTGTCTCCAGCACTTATTTAACTGTCGGTAACAGTAATTTAACTGTTAATTGACTTTTTCTTTCTTATTTTTTGAAGTTTTTTCTTAAAAAAAATTTTTTTAATTAATTTACTGTCTTGGCTGCTACATTAATGTCTCGAACAGTAATTTAACTGTCTGAGACAGTAATATTACTGTATTAATTAATTTTATCGTCTTGGCCTGCATTTTTGCTGGATTGTAATATTACTGTCTCCGAATATCACTGTCTTATGCAATAATATTACTGTTTGTGACAGTAATATTAGTAATATTACTGTTCAGAAAAATAATATTCATAATATCACTGTCCCAAACAGTAATATTAGTGTCTGAGACAGTAATTTAGCAGCCAAGACAGTAATATTAATTAAAATATTTTTTCTCAGAAAATTTTTTTTTAAATAAAAATAAAAAATCAACGCCGGATACCGGCGGTCAATGGCGCTTGACCGGCCGGAAAAAAAAAATCAGAAAAAAAAATTATTTTCTGAAAAAAAAAATATTTTTTTCAAAACAAAAATTAAAATAAGGGTTAATGTGATATATTTATTTAAATCCAGGGTCAATGTGTAATATTAAGGAAGTTAGAGTATAATGGATGGAATTGACAAAAAATATATTATGAAGGGTATTTTTGACTAAAGACATGGGATGAGTTTATTTGAAAGACTATTTTTTTTTTGGACCAATGTGCATTTAACTCCCTTGTGCATGTCCCTTTTTGACATTTGCCCTTGTATATTTTTGGTATCAATTTTGATTAATTCATTTTTTTTAATTAATACAGTAATTGCTAATAACAAAATATAATAAGAAACAATAAACTCGTTAATGAAGCACCGGTAAAATATGGGATAAAATATGTGACGAGACCTCTTAAATTGAAATAAGGGACCCCTTGAAATAAATCATCTGAGTTAATTTTATTTCACCTTCAGATAGTTTTTTTATTTATTTATAACATAGATTTTAAAATTATATAGTTAAACAACTTATTACTTAAAATCAGACCTATAATTAATATTTTTAAGAAATAAATATTCTAAGATTATTCTAAATATTATATTTATAATTTTGTGACATATACAATGAAATACCATAGGCAGTCAAGAAGCCAATGTAGGGCTAGGGGTGGCCATGCCCCCTCCCCTCTCAATTTTATTATTTTTACTATTATATATGTATATGTAATTTATTAACTTTGTATTGTGCTGCTAATGATTTAGTTTTATATAAAAAGTAAATTTAAATGTTTTGAATTGGAAAACAAAAAAACAAAAAAAAAATTAATAAATGAGTTTAACACATGAGATAAGGAAGTTATGTGACTTACATCATTGGGCAAGGTTGGACTCAAGTCGACTCTCAATCGAAAAAAATCCACTATTTTACAAACACACACACACACACACATATATATATATATATATATAAATATAAATTCTACCAAATTTTTATTCTTTATTCCACCCAAAATCCAAATTAATGCAAAACAATTCATATGTTTCTCTATCTTTATCTTCTGACTTTTGTCAAAAACAAAATTCTAATTTTTTCGGGGGCGCCGACCCTGAACCCCGAAAACGGTCATAAATATATCTATAGTATTGTTAATGTATATCCGAGCCCCCGAGGGATGAGATCCTGGCTTCGCCACTGACCATGGCAGACCAAACCTATTCTAATTTCCTATAAATAGTGAAATTGTGAATTATTATAATTTTTTATGATTGTGTAAAATTATGGTGAACTGCATGGAATACCAAAAATACAATTTTCCACCAGAAATAATGCGCTACGTGGGAGATGAACTCATTTTCACTATATAAAAATAAAATTTAGTGAAAATGCTCTAACTATCTGGACACCTACAAGTAAGAACAAATATTGTACAATGTCCAATCCAAGTTATAAAATGAGATTATATTATTCGACAAACACATCAAATGCCATATTAAAGTAAAAGTTTAGTTGGTGTCTTTGTTTAGTTTGACTAAAACTTGAAAAGGTTTACGTAATCATATAATTAGTGTGGTTAAATTAGTGATTAGAATAAAGGGGATGAGTCAATCTTAAACTTAATCACTAGTTTAGCTGACTTGAATTATAACAAAGGAAGGTGATTGGCTGCTCATTCACCTGTTGACAACACAAAAGAATTGAGCATTATAATCTTGAAGCAAAGGGACAACACATGGATTAGTAATCAGTGTCTATCTATCTCCAATTAACATCATCTTTCATTTTATTTAAATTGCTTTTATAATCCATATGCTTTGTACGGATACATCAACAGTATAAATTAATTAATTTATTGTATTTCTTTTATTTATTTGTGGGCGAATTGCATATAATTTGAAAGAGGAGGACTTATTTGCGCTCTTATCCAAACTAAAATTAGTTTTACAAAAAAATCCGTCCGCTTGTTCTTGTCCAAAATATCCCTTACGATATAATTTATATCGATTTCATATAATGTCTCAACTTAATAAATATTGGACATTGACCTCATATTTTAACAAATATATCATATCAACATCCCTTTTCACAATCTTTTGAATTTTTATATTTTTCTGAACTTTTTTTTTTCCAGCCAATGATCGGGGTGGGTTTACCGTCGGTCTCCGACGTTAGACTTTTTTTAATTATTTTTCTTTAACAACCAATATAGTAATTTACCGTCTCATATAGTAAAATTACTGTATGTGAAAGTAATATTGCAGCCTGAGAAAATAATATTAACATTTAAATATTGATATTATTGTCTAAGATAGTATTGGTAATATTTACAAAATAATATTACTGAAAAGAGTTTAAAAAAACAACTATTTTTTTTTTAAATCAACGCCGGAGACTGATGGCAGTAGACCGACGGTGGCGGTCAAAATTAGGGTAGGGGTTAAAATTGATTAATTGGTGAAATTGAGTAAATCAAGGTTTAAATCATGAAATTCGAGTTGAACTGTGGTTTCAATGAGTTATAATTTTAGTATGGGTAAATTTCAACCACCCCCTGAGGTATGGTCAAATTACGAAAATCCCCTCTTGTTTGGGTAATTACAACGACCCCCTCAACTATAAATCTTCTTACACGTCCACCCTTGTGGTTTCAAATTTAGTGAAATTTTCTAGATTATATGTAATATTATCACTTTTGTACCCGTTTTATTCCATTCGAGCTCCACATTTTGAAGCAAGATGATCATAAGATGTGTTTTTTGACTTGTATATATCAGATTTTGGTGCATCAGAAACTTTATTTTTACACAAAGCGGGTACAACTTAAGCACATTCTACGGAATCTAAATGATTATGTTGAATTTGACACTATAACGGTGGAAGTGTAAGAAGATTCATAGTTGATGGGTAGATGTAATTATCCAAACAAGATGAGGTTTTTCGTAATTCAACCATACTTTAGTGGGTAGTTGTAATTTATCCTTTTAGTATATACGAATGAGTTTTTGTTATTAGCAAATAAGTTTGATTTATTAGCGAGACAAAAAAGTAAAATATTCCTCTTTTAATTAAATGCAATATCGTGGGCTTTTCTGCAATTCCCCCTTTATTCAATAACATGTCCTGAATTTGTAGTTTTTCATTTGCTACCATTCATCTCATTTTGGTAGTGGTCCAATCATATTTGAGCAAAATTTATCTTATTGCAAACATATGCCCTTCTTTTTATTTATTAAAATTAGATAGTAGAAATTAATTTATCTTAGTAGTACATTAAACCTCCAAAAAGAAGAGCAAAAAAAAAGAAGAATGAAGAAATATTTAGAAATTAAAGTTCATTGTACATAAAAGTATTATTAATATTATAGGAAAATAATGGCCGTGAATTCAAAGGAGCACCGTATTTGTCAATTCATTTTCTTAAAATTGCTGATGTGGAATTGCAGTCAATAATTCATTCCAATCTACTTTCAGACATTCATAAGGCCTTGTTTGCCTGAAACATTGACATTATACATGATTGATAAATTTATCCTTGTTATCAACACAGCAAGAGTTCAAATCACTTGTTTATTTGTAGTCCAGAAATCATAATCCATCTGCAATTTGCATTATAGTCCAGACAACATAATCCATGATAAACTTATATGGGATTAGTAAGGTTGTTTATGAGGTGAACCAAACAAGCCCTAACGGTGGTTCTAACTCTATACAAATTAAATTAGTGGTGTGCATTTTGTTATTAGTATGTAGTTTTTTTTTTTTTTTTTTTTTTGATAATGCAGGAACCCGCAGCCAACCATATAGGTGCACTGGGTAAACCTACACTCTCGTATAATAGCTTGCAAACCATACGAGAGATGTAAACCACACTAGGCTAACCATGTGTGACAAGCTCGACCTAGCGACCGTTGGCAAGGGGATTCGAACTTGGGTCAATTGACCCAAGCTCTCTTGCTCCAACCGTTAGGCCACCCTTGCGGGTATTAGTATGTAGTTTTGACCAGTACCATTGATTCATTTAAGCTTCCCTGAGGTGCCACCCCATACTTGTTTTATTTTATTTTATTTTAAATAGAAAAATCATTAAAAAAAAAATAAAAAAAAATAAAACAAATAAAGAAATAGTTCTCCTTTTCTATATTATTTTCTTATTAAAAAATAAAATAAATTAAATTATTAAGTTGTAGAGTATCCACAAAACACCATTCCATCCAATCACAGTTCACCACCTTCCTCCACCCCCACCTCCACATCTCTCTCTCTCTCCTCTCTCTCTCTCTAGACTCTACATTTATATATATATATATGAATTACATATAGTTGATAAAAAATGAAGATTCATTTCTTGTGAAAATAGATATCTTCAATCTCTTTTACTTTGCTGCTGCTGCTGCTTTTACTGTTGAAAAAAAAAAAAAAAAAAAAAAAAAAAAAAGGTAAAAGAAAGAAAGAAATCACAATCCTTTTTATTTATAACCACTTATTCAGAGAAATTCAGACTTTGTTTCCACTGTTCTGTTTGTGAGTTTCCAATGAAGCAGCTTTTTCAGTCTGCAACTCTTCTCTCCAGCTTCCTCTCGTCTCTCTCTTTCTCCTTTTAGCCTTCTTTCAGGTTTTTTTTCACATTTCCAATTTGGGAAAATTCATTATTTTATTACAACACTTGTTCAATTTGCCTGCAATTTTTTATTTTTTTTTGGTGGGTGGGTGGGTGGGTTAATCAGATATCAGTTTGTTTTGATTGTACCTCTTCCCTTTTGATTACCACAAGTTCATACAGATGTTTTGAAAAGAAAAAAAAAAAGAAAAAATAAGTGGCTTCCTTTTAAGATTCGTCAATTGAGAGGTGGCTCAGGTGGGTGTTCATTTTGAAGAAGAAAAAGGTATTCCGATTCTGATTCCGATTCCGATTCCGAATGCTCCTTCATTTAGCACTCATTTTCCCATTCTGAGGCTTCCACCTATCTCTCTGCACTTCTTTCTCTCTCTGTTTTGCGATGTTCGAGAAACCAATTTTTATGTGATTTTAAGCTCTGTAATTGATGAGGTGGGGTATGGAGATTCTATCGCCATCTTCGTATTTCACCAGCTCAAGTTGGCTTCCCGATGAGAGCAGAAGAAGCACCGCAGCAAAGTGGACGCCGGCGGAGAACAAGGCCTTCGAGAATGCACTCGCGGTGTTCGACGAAAGTACACCGGATCGATGGCAGAGAGTTGCCGAGATGGTCCCCGGGAAAACCGTCCGTGACGTCATCAGGCAGTACAAGGAGCTCGAGGATGACGTCAGCAGCATCGAGGCAGGGCTGATCCCTGTTCCCGGCTACGCCGCCGCCACATCTCTACCCCCACCACCACCACCGCCGCCGCCATCATCGTCGTCGTCGCCTTTTACGCTTGAATGGGGGAGTGCCCACACAGGCTTCGAGGGTTTCAGGCAATCTTATGTCATCGCCGGCGGCGGCGGAAGGAAGTCTTCTTCCGCCAGACCTTCCGAACAAGAACGGAAAAAGGGTGTCCCCTGGACCGAAGAAGAACACAAGTCAGTTAATTCTATTTTTTTCTAATTTCGCCTTTCGTAATAATCCGTAGATCGATTTTATCGAATCGTTTCTTATTATATATAAAATCGATCTTTGTTTTCTTGAAAAAAAAAAGGTTGTTTCTCTTGGGGCTGAAGAAGTACGGAAAGGGCGACTGGAGAAATATATCGCGCAATTTCGTGATCAGTCGGACGCCGACGCAGGTCGCCAGCCATGCGCAGAAGTATTTCATAAGGCAACTCTCCGGTGGGAAAGATAAGAGGAGAGCAAGCATTCACGACATAACAACAGTACACCTCAACGATGATCCGGCTTCTTCCCCGGAGAACAAAACGGTTCCCTCGCCGGAGCAGTCGAATTCCGGCCGGAATATTCCGTTTCAGACCAACAACGGGACAATCATGGGCGGGTATAGCTCTCCATGTCTTGAGAATGTATTCTCGTCTCCACCGAATTACGGTATGAACTCTTATGGGCTTAAAACGTACGACGAGCATGAATCTTACATGGAATCGCACAACATGGTGTTCCAGATGCAATCGGGGTCACACTATCCTAATTATTAATGCATGGAATGACGGAACGCGATTCGTCACGCATCAATTTGTTCCTTGATCGAAAAAAAGAGCTTGTTTGTGCTTTTTTTTTATTATTATTATTAATCTCAAATTGTCTTTAGTTAATTTGGCTTAATATTAGTTTTGTTTGTGCTTTTCTTGATTTTTTTTTTTTTTTTTTGTGAATATGTTGATTGGTATTTGAGGTAGAGGCTATAATATGATGTTAGCAAGTGAAAATTAGAGATGAGATACTCCTTGTATTTTGAAAAGATAATAAGTAAAACCACACGAGGAATTCTCTTAGTCTATATATATATGGCTACCTTTTTTTCTTTTCGGTAACTCGTTTTTTACGAGCTTCTCCCGAATTCGGTTCTGGCGTGGACGGACGATTTTGCCCCTGGTTTGTCGACCGTGTTATATGGTTATATTTTGTATTTGCAAAATCAATGTTGAGGAGTTGGTGTAAGAATAATACTAGTTGAAGATTTTGTATCCATTTTGAGTGATGCCTATAGGCTATAGTTTCTAAACTAAACAAAGTGAAGGGAAAATATTTATTTCCACTTTGGGCTATGTGCGTGTAATTAAATCTTTATTTTATTATTTAATTAATTAATATGGTGAAAATGATTAATAAAAAAATATATGCTTGTTTGGTGAAAGTGTGGGTCTATGGACCAATTGTGATGGTATATACTTTGGACCTCATTTTTGGTCATAATTAAAGCAAACTTTATTTGAATTACGAGGGAATAATTCTCCCTCCCTTCCACAATATTTGTTAGTTTTTTTTTTTTTTTAATTTATTTCATATTATCTATCAATTAAGAATTCCAACATTATATCAATTATATATTTTTCAATTAAGTCTTCATTAACTCTTCAATTTCTTATGGACTAATGAATAAATAATGGTATTTTGGTCTAATAATATCTATTTTTCTAAAATCAAGACATATTCATTGAATTTATTAAAATAAGTACAAATGTAAAAAATAATTATTATTTAGGAACAGAGAGAGTAATATACATGTGCCTTAACAGCTTAACTGTAATTGTTGAGCTGATGAGATAAAGCTCGTCAGTAGAAGTTGAGTGGCATTCCTATAGTCGATGTGTCCATCGCTTGCACTACAATCTTTTTTTTTTTTTTGGTAGAATTTCCACTTTTCAGTTTTCACCCTAACTTTATACTGGCGGGTAAATAGTTTTTGAAGAAAAAATATATAAATTACAATATTGTCCTTTTCGAAATAATTTTAATCTATTTGCGAAAATATGTAATTGAATCTATATATTATAAATATTTACTAATTAGTAATATCTATTTTTGTATTTCTGTTCCATGTGCAACTCCAAATTTGCATTAAAAGTAGCACTTCAAGAATACTTATTAATTCCCTTGCAATTTTTTTTTCTTTCATCAACTATATCTATTTATGATTATACCATTTACATATTGAATTTGCAATTTTGTATTTGATTATTTAATTATTTAAAACAGTATTGGAATAAGTTAGGAAATTTTAAGAAAAAATTAAACTCATCACTTACATTGGATAAAATACGAGAACAAATTCTATATGCATGTCGAGTAAATATCAGTGTTTTGAAACTCGGACCGGAACAGCCAGTTGAATCGGTTAAACCACAAAACGTTATCTTGTCTGGTCTGTTTTGACCAGTTGAACCGTAATATCGAAACCCGAGCGAAAATTGGATATTTTTTCTCCCCAAATTGTGTTTTAAAATAAATAAAACGGTCAAAACAATGTTTTTTTATTGCCTAGTTGAAAAAAAACTGTAAATCAAAATAAAAAATCTTGATATTGGAAGACATGTTATGTTTTTTTTATAATTTCTATAATATTTGAAATAATTAGTGTGATATGTGTGTGTTGATATGTTGTGTGTAAAAGTAAAATAAGTTTTATTTACATTTTAATTCGAAATGAGTGAGTTAATTTGTGTGAACGAAAATATGTTTTTATTTACTATAAGAATTTCTTATATATAAATAATTATAAAATAGAAAACCAAAAAACCGATTAGATCCCAGTTGAACGGGTCCAACCGTGATCCAGTAACTTATTTGGGTCAATGTGCGGTCCGATTTTGTTAGATACTGTTACATATAGTAATTTTTACTCTGTATTTAATATAGTTGTTTTCTCCTTTTAAAGTTGTGGTTAAGTTAAACACGACTCTGTTTTAGTTTTAGATATCGTGTTTTAGTTTCCATTGTATATATACCCATTCATGTGATATACAGCTGGGTATTATAACATATTTTTAATTCAATAATAATTCCAAGTTTTTCCCTCTTTTCTCTCTTTTCGTTTCTTCTTTCTTCTCCATCAAAAGTCGTCAATGGCGGTTTATCGAAACCTAAATTAGGTTTCTACATGGTATCAGTTTCAGGCGTTCTTCTGCCCATCACAAATTCACCACAATTGGTGAACTGATTTCTTCGCTTCATCTTTTACCTTCGTTCTCTCCTATCAATTTTTCCCATGGCGCCCGCTCGATCTCCGATTGATGATGCTTCCAGCCCTTATTATTTGCATCCCTCCGATGGTCCCAATCTAATACTCGTCTCTCAAGCTTTAACTGAGGACAATTATGCCTCTTGGTCTCGTGCAATGATAATCTCTCTCACGGTGAATAACAAGGTCGGTTTCGTCACCGGCACAATTGTTGATCCCGGCATCGAAGATCCGATCCTCCAAACTGCTTGGATTCGCAATAACAGCATGGTCATGTCTTGGATCATCAACGCCGTGTCCAAAGATATTCAAGGTAGCATTATGTACTCTCTCTCTGCTAAAGACATTTGGGATGATTTAAAAGTTAGGTTTTCCCAAACCAATGGCCCTAGGATCTTCCAGCTCCGTCGTGAATTGGCAAATCTCTCCCAAGGTTCTCAATCTGTAAATGTATACTTTACCAAAGTCAAAGCCATCTGGGATGAATTAACCAATTATAGACCTTCTTGTACTTGCAATAAATGTACTTGTGGAGGATTGACTGGTTTATCTGATCACTACAATCAAGAATACGTGATGAGTTTCTTGATGGGGCTTAATGAACATCTCAGTCAAACCAGAGGCCAAATCCTTCTCATGGATCCTCTTCCTTCCATCAGCAAGGTTTTTGCCTTTGTATCTCAAGAAGAAAGGCAGCGCTCTGTTTCTGCCACCTCCCATGAGACTTTGGCCGCCAGCTTTGCTGCCACTGCTGCTTTTCGAAGACCAACAAATAATCAGTTTTACAATCCCAATTTCAAGAAAAAGGACCGCCCCTTTTGCACTCACTGCCACCTGAATGGACATACTGTGGAGAAGTGTTACAAACTACATGGTTATCCCCCTGGATTCAAGCCTAGACCAAGAGCTCCTCCTCCTCAAGGCTCCACCATCAATCAAGTTTCTAGTCAACAGGCTCCTCTTCCCATGGCTTCTGCTGAGAATCCTACTCCTATTGAAGGTTTTCTACAGAACATGACCCCTACACAATGTCAACACCTCATGTCCATGCTTTCTTCCACAGTGGCTGCTTCTGGACAGGACATTGGTACAGTTTCATGTGTCTCAGGTATTTTTTCTTCTCTCTTTACTAAACAATCTCCCATCATGCCTCATCACTGGATAATGGACTCAGGAGCTTCCAGACATATTTGCAATGATAAGTCTGCTTTCTTTAACTTAAAATCTGTGCATAATGCTAGTGTAATTTTACCTGATGCCACTATGTTTCATGTCCCTTGCATTGGTGATGTTCAATTAAATTCCACCATTACTCTCACCAATGTTTTTTATGTCCCTCAATTTACCTTTAACCTTATCTCTGTCAGTGCCCTTCTCATGAACAGTTCTTATACTCTCAGTTTCAATATGCACTCATTTCTTCTTCAGAACAAGGCTTGCAGGATGATTGGCAAGGGTAACAAGATTGAAGGTCTTTATGTCTTAGATCAGTCTCATATAGGTTTTTGTAATAAGATTTCAACTATTATCTGGCATAAAAGACTTGGTCACATGCCTTTTAAAAAGCTAAGTCTCATAAAGGAACACATTGCTGTTGATTCCCCTAGTACTATGTCAACTGATGTATGTTGTCATGTTTGTCCCATTGCTAAACAAAAACGTTTACCTTTTAATAAAACTACTTATTCTGCATCTGCTTGTTTTGATCTTTTACATTGTGATGTTTGGGGCCCTTATAAAGTTCCTTCCTACAATGGCTATAAATACTTTGTTACTTTGGTTGATGATTACTCTAGATTCACTTGGGTGCACATGTTGAAAGCTAAGTCTGATGTCTTGCATACTATTCCTTGTTTTCTCCATATGGTTAACACTCAATTTGGTAAACAAGTCAAAATTTTCAGATCTGATAATGCTCCGGAATTAGCTTTCACTGATCTTTTTGCCTCTCTTGGCATCATTCACCATTTTTCTTGTGTTCAAACTCCTCAGCAAAATGCTATTGTTGAGAGAAAACACCAGCACATCTTAAATGTTGCTAGATCTCTGTTTTTTGAATCCAAACTGCCTATAGAATATTGGAATGAGTCCATTCTTACTTCTGTTTATCTCATTAATCGAACCCCTGCCAAAAACCTTGATAATAAAACTCCTTACAATCTGTTATACCCTGACCTTACATTTGACTATCAATCTCTTAAGGTTTTTGGTTGTCTAGCTTTTGCTTCCACTCTTCAGGCTGCCAGAGACAAGTTCCAGCCCAGAGCCAGAATGTGTGTCTTTCTGGGATATCCACCAGGTATTAAGGGGTATAAGTTACTTGATTTTCATTCTAAAACTGTTTTTGTCTCTAGGGATGTGGTTTTCCATGAGGATCAATTCCCTTTCTCCTCCATTTCTCCAACTCCCACATTGGACTGTATCACTGGCTCTCTCCCTAATCTGGTCATTCCCTCTAACATTAATCCTAATTCAGCATATGCCAGTGATATTGATCCTGACTATAGTCCTGTACATGATTCTTCTCTCTCTCCCCATATTTCTGAAGTTGAAGTCCCTATATTTGATGTTGAAGCTCCCAGAAGATCCACTAGATCTGTTAAAACTCCTACCTATTTGAAGGATTATGCTTGTTTTGCTCCATTCACATCCAAATACCCTATTTGTAATTCTGTTGGTTATCACAAGTTATCTCCTCATTATAAAAATTTCATTCTTACTATTACTGCTGAAAGTGAACCCAGATTTTATAAGCAAGCCTCTAAGCATCCTCACTGGGTTCAGGTCATGAATGAAGAGCTGGATGCTCTGACTGCAAACAACACCTGGTCTGTTGTTCATTTACCC